TTCTAATTATTGCTCACCATACACGATACCAGAGAAGTTTTTATCCTAAAAAGTTCTCAAGCCTCGAATAATCGAATGGTGAGCAACAATCCGATATGGTGCAAAATTCTACAGTGGAGGTGAACGCCGCTCTTGCCGCGACGCCACGGGTGATGACCGCAGTAAAACCAACAGGATAATGACCTTTGGCTCCTGATTCCAAGCTCCTACCAACGCCGCTCAATGTACTTCCTCTTACGATGCCGTCCTCGCTGTCCATCGTTCTCGAGCGTCGAGATGCAATGTAAATCATTTGGGACCTGTACAAACCACCAAATCTCACTGTAACACGTTAACAAAAAATTAGTTTTTCTTTGCATATAATAATATATCGTGCAAATGTGACCACCATGCCCTTGATCAGCACACTTAATTAAAAATAATTAATCCACTTACGTTAACAGTTATCACCATTCTCCGAACCAGCTTCCAAGCTCCGATTGATGTGGTGACCGCAGTAAAACCAACAGGATAATGACCTTTGGCTCCTGATTCACTGTTCTTGCCAACGCTGTCCTCCCCGCTTTACATTTCAATGAAATGCCCGGAAGCAATGGACATCATTCAAGTCCGGCCGATGGTTCGGTAAAAACCACCCACCTTCACTGTAAAATGCTGCTCTATTTCTAATTATTGCTCACCATACACGATACCAGAGAAGTTTTTATCCTAAAAAGTTCTCAAGCCTCGAATAATCGAATGGTGAGCAACAATCCGATATGGTGCAAAATTCTACAGTGGAGGTGAACGCAGCTCTTGCCGCGACGCCACCGGTATTTTATGGTACCGTAGACTGGACACAAACCCCAAATTTCGATATGGGCAGTAGACTCTCGTCGCACCTCACCGGCCACCGCTCACTAATGACTAGTGACTTGGTGGGGTGAGAGGTACCGAGACCCGCTCTGATCAGTGGCGAGGCATAGCTGTTCCTTCGTTTATCACCAAAGTTCGTGACGAGAAAGAGAAATCCGCTTACTGCAGAAAACGTCAACGCATCCGTTAGAAAGTAATTTGATTGTTTAAAAGTGTTGCCATATGCCAAGCAATCACTTGACGAAATCATTTGAAGCCAATGCACATGCCATCCAAGCTCCTACCAACGCCGCTCAATGTACTTCCTCTTACGATGCCGTCCTCGCTGTCCATCGTTCTCGAGCGTCGAGATGCAATGTAAATCATTTGTGACCGGTACAAACCACCAAATCTCACTGTAACACGTTAGGAAAAAATTAGTTTTCCTTTGCATATAATAATATATCGTGCAAATGTGACCACCGTGCCCTTGATCAGCACACTTAATTAAAAATAATTAATCCACTTACGTTAACAGTTATCACCATTCACCGAACCAGCTTCCAAGCTCCGATTGATGTGGTGACCGCAGTAAAACCAACAGGATAATGACCTTTGGCTCCTGATTCACTGTTCTTGCCAACGCTGTCCTCCCCGCTTTACATTTCAATGAAATGTCCGGAAGCAATGGACATCATTCAAGTCCGGCCGATGGTTCGGTAAAAACCACCCACCTTCACTGTAAAACGCTGCTCTATTTCTAATTATTGCTCACCATACACGATACCAGGGTTCCATGTAATTTGATCGCAGTAAGTTTTGCGCGGTAAATTGGGCGCGAGAATTTGGTTGCGAGGATTTGGTCGTGGTGTAATATTGTCGCACGTCATATAGTCGTTTTATATTAGATCGAGTCAGTTTAATGATAACCTCGGATATCTAAATTATTATCGTCGTCCATATTACGTTACCTATCTAAATTATAGGTAAATAATAGTTTATGTTCTTTTACCAGATAAAAAAGAAGTAACTTATTGGCGTATGTTTTTAGCTTTAAATTAAAAAAAAAAATTTAAATCCATTGATGATTATGGCTGATTTTGAAAAAGCTGCTATGAGTGCAGCCCTATTTGTATACCTAATACTAAAATGCAAGGTTGTTTTTTCATCTTGGACAGTCGATTTGGAGGCAAATTCAAAATATCGGGTTAAGTAATAAATATTCTTCTGATCCAGAATTTTACTGGCATTAGCATATTTACCCGAAAATCTTGTTGAAGATAGTTTCGAAAACATTCTTCAAAGAGAATTTTATAAATGCAACGAGGAACTCTTGGCAAACTTTATAATTTACTTTGAGGATACATATATTCGTCGCGTTATCAGAAGTGGACGAAAGACACCTCCACTATTTCCTATTGCAATATGGAATTGTTATTTTTTAATTGAAAAAGATATTCCAAGTACAAATAATGCAGTAGAAGGCTGGCACAATTCTTTCAATACGTTGTTAAATTCAGTTCATCCATCTATTTGGATTTTTATTAATGCGTTGAAAAAAGAAAATAATATAAACCTTTTTAAAGTCGAACAGTTACTTTCTGGAAAATCATTACCTAAAAAGAAAAAATATAAAGATTCTGCAATTCGTATTCGGAAATTAACCTCAACATTTGACTCAAATACTACTAACATTCGAAATTATTTATGTGGGATAGCCATTAATTTCCAGTTGCAATTGTAATTTAGAACTTTATTTATATACATTTTTGTTATTATTATTATTATTATTAGCTATCTGTGTGACAATTTAATTTATAAATTAAAAATGTAAAACTATTTTTACTAATTTCCAGTTGCGATTGTAATTTACAACTTCATTTATATACATTTTTATTATTATTATTATTATTATTATTAGCTATCTGTGGGATAATTTAATATATATATTAATACAATTTTTGCTTTAAATTAAATTTATACTTACCAATAAATTATGTGTACTTTACTTATACTAGGTATTTATTGATTATTATATTAAATTGTACATATACTATATAGGCATGTATCACTCGTCGAAATGACGCTCGACGATATTACACCAGCGCCCAATTTACCGCACCCAATTTATCGCGCCCAAATTACCACGACCAATTTACCGCGATGTATTTACGTGACACCCGATAACAGAGAAGTTTTTATCCTTAAAAGTTCTCAAGCATCGAATAATCGAATGGTGAGCAACAATCAGATATGGTGCAAAATTCTACAGTGGAGGTGAACGCCGCTCTTGCCGCGACGCCACCGGTATTTTTTGGTACCAAACAGTAGACGCTAACCTCAAAATCTTATGTGCGCAGTTCACTCTCCCCACACCGCACCCCTTCCACCAACCGCTTATGATCGGTGATGTTGTGGGGGTGAGTGCTACCGGGACTTGCTCCGATCAACGGCGTGGCTGGCTGTTCCTTTGTTTATCCCCGAAGCTCTCGTTGAGAAATGGAACCCCGTTTGCTGCAGCAAACGAACCTGAATCCGTTAGATAGTCCTTTGATTGATTGAAAGTATTGCCATGTGCTATGTAATCAAACACAAAACCCGATAAGTTTATATCCTAAAAAGTTATTTAGTCTCGTAAAGTCGAATGATGAGCAAAAATCTACAGTGGAAATGAACGCCGCTCTTGCCGTGACACTGCCGGTATGTTACGGTACCATACAGTAGACGCTAACCTCAAAATCACATGTGTGCAGTACACTGTCGCCGCACCTTACCCCTCTACTTACCGCTTATTATTGGTGATGTGGCGGGGTGAGGGATACCGGGAACCGCTCCGATCAACGGCGTGGCTGGCTGTTCCTTTGTTTATCCCCGAAGCTCTCTTTGAGAAAAGGAACCCCGTTTGCTGTTGCAAACGAACCTGCATCCGTTAGATAGTTCTTTGATTGATTGAAAGTATTCTCACGTGCTAAGCAATCACTTGACGATGTCTTTGGAAGCCAATGCGTCTGTCATCCAAGCTCCTTCCAACGCCGCTCAATGTGCTTCCTCTGACGATGTCGTCCTCGCTGTACATCGTTGTCAATCATCGAGATACAATGGAAATAATTCGGGTACGACAGGTAGTTGGTGAAAACCACCCACCTTCACTAAAACGTTGCACTATTTCTGATTTTAGCTCATTAACACAAAACCCCGATAAGTTTTTATCCTTAAGAGTTATTAAGTCTCGTAAAGTCGAATGATGATCAAAAATCCGATATGGTGCAAAATTCTACGGTGGAGGTGGCTGCTGCTCTTGCCGCGACGCCACCAATATACGCGTTACACAAGACGTACTGTACACAGACACTAGTACACTATACGTTATTTGAATTCCGGGAACACGCTCTCGCCTGGTCTTACCCCACCACCGCTTATGTCGTGACGTGGCATCGCGAGAATTCCCTCGACCCGCTCCGATCAGTGACGTGGCGACAGTTAATCTCTTTTCTATGTTGGCAACACTGTACAATTGCTGGTATAATAACGGGCATTGTGCTAAAACGGTGGGAATCGGCCTTTGAGTATTTTTCCCGAAACCATGGAAGAAACCGGAAAGTTAGGAAATGTCACGTGACTGAAACGAAGTGTCTGAATTCTTGAATCTTTTTATAGAAATCACTCATGAGAGATGATACATTAAATATTTCCTATACGGTTAATATGCCTATTCTTGACCTTCTCACTATATTTTTGATTTTGGAATGAAATTATTTTACTCGAAATATTTTTGCTATGAACCAAGTTGGTTACTGACGCTACCATGATAAGTATTGTGATAAAACCACCACTGTCACTGGTTTATTGTTTGTTATCAACGTTTCACATATAGTTTTATAATTCATAATATTTTAATAATATACTGTAATACTGTTTTATTCCTACTTTTATACTGAGTAACAACTAACAAGGAGCAACTTACAAAATATAAACGTAGGTATTTGTTAGGTAATTTGTTTTTTAGTAGTAAAGTTGAAAAACTTAAACTATTTAATGGAAGACTCAAAAAAAGTATATTGTTGGAAAACCCAAAAATAAATGTTTATCCAACTGTTAAAAAAAGATCCTCAATTAATTTCTGTGAAGTTTACAAGAAATTTCACATTCAAAAATACTCGAAATTGATGGACAGCGATCGACGATACGTTGTGTGCCCTTCCTGGCTGTGTGAAGCATTGGAGTCAATAGAAAAGAGTAAACAATTATTATTAATTACTTCTACACAAATCTAATTGTAGGAAATAATACTATACCCAGGGTCGCATTTAGGGGGGGGGGGGGCGCTGGGTACAACTGCCCCAGGCACCATTATTTTGGAGGCTCCAAAATATTGTGGTCAGAAATTTGTTTACTTGTGAATTATTAAAACTTTACAATTTTAATTATTTTAATAACAGTATTATATTATAATATAATTGAGTACCTATAATAGTATTATATATTATATAGTATTATGATGTTTGAAATTTATTATTTAAACAACTAATGTATTGATAGCAATATAGCTATCAACAATCGATAATTATTAATATGCCTAATAACAATTCCCAAAATTGTTGTGATTAGGTATGTCAATAGACATTAGTTATTTATAATAATACGGGCAATACGGGGTATTTTGCTATCGTGTCTGGCGTGACATTTTACAACACAATTATTACCAACTAGGTACCTAGTACCTACCTACCAGATAGTTATTAGCACGATTTAAGATAGTACTATCTTAAACCGTGGTTTTCACTATTCAGCGCTGTTGAGTGTTGAATGTTGATTATTTATTTATTATTTTATTATTATATTTGTCTTATAACTTTTATATAATTCTAATTATGGCTGGTAAAAAAACCCTAAGTGGTACCTAGTCAAAATCGTAAAAAAACTTTGTTAAAACACAAAAAAGAACTTAATGTGGTTAACAAATGCAAAAAAATTCAAAACTTGTTTGGAGGGAAAACTTCAACAGTTGAAAGTAAATATACACCTTAATATGTCTTATGTCTATTATAGGTATAGGTAACATAAATTATACTTACAAGTTAAAATATAAGTTATAACTACCTATGTACCTATTAATCAGAGTTAACCTAACCTAATCAAAAGGGGCAAAAATAAATAGTTTAAAATAATATGTAAAACCTTAAACCAATAAACCATGTACATAATAAACTTGATAAAATGTGTCTAGATAAATTAAAATTTAATTTGTATTAGAATTCTATTATCAAACAAGTAGTTAATAGGTAGAACATACCTAATGATACGAACAAATAACCTGAATATTTGAGGTAGGTACTAAAATATTAATTATTTATGAATTATATAGTGTGACTTTGACACATCTTTTTAGTTTATTTCCCTGTTAACCAAACAATTTAGTTATAATGTTAGAATATAATTTGATTATTGTATAATACTAACTCAAATCATTATTTATTCATTTATAAACAAATATATTTAAATTTAATTATTTTTATTAACAACATAATATGTTATAATATTATTATATTCAAAAGCAGAAGTCCCAGTATTACTTGAGGTTAACATAGAACAATTAGATCCAAGCACATTTCCACAAGTAACAGAGACTGTTTACAATGGTAGTAAGCTAATATTTTTCATAATTATTTTGATTATTTATTTGTACTAAAATTAAAAATAATATATTTCAAAACATAAATTCCAGAGAAAATTGCGATGGACATTCAAAAAATAGATCAGAACACATTTTCAAAAGTAGCTGAGACTGTTTACAATGGTAGTAAGCTAATATTTTTCATAATTTTGATTATTTATTTGTACTAAAATTAAAAATAATATATTTCAAAACAGAAATTCCTGAGGAAATTGCGATGGACATTCAAAAGATAGATCAGAATACATTTTCAAAAGTAGCTGAGATTGTTTACAATGGCAGTAAGCTAATATTTTTTATAATTTTGATTATATTATATTTGCACTAAAATTAAAAATAATATATTTTAAAACAGAAGTCCCTGAGGAAATTGATATGGATATTCAAAAGATAGATCAGAACACATTTTCAAAAGTAGCTGAGACTGTTTACAATGTCATTCCTGGGTAAGTCGTAGATAAAAACTAAAATTATAAAACTATTAAATAAATTAAATTAAAGTTCTTAAATATTATTTACTTTAATTAGTTAATTATTTATAAATATTCATTATATATTTTAAATACAACTATCTATTTTACTTACTATAAACAATAAAATAAAATGATACTAAAATGCAGCTCCGTCCATTTATAAAACTGCATAAACAAAATAACCCATTTGTTTTAAGACTAACTTTAATGAAACCAAAATGTCTCCTTTTTCTATTGTATTTGAGCTTAAATGTAATTTATTGGTAAAACAAATATACATTTGGGGGACGAGGTTAGGAACACACAAATTCTTCAAATCACCGTTCAAATATCTTAAAGATGAAAGATCGTGGCAACACACTTGGGCGGATCGACAACAATCATGTGAGACAAGTAGAAATTCAACATACATACTGGATAAATGTATTAAAACGAGTTGTGACTGTTGTTAAAAGTTTATCATCCAGGGAATTGGCATTTAAAGGAGCAACTTAAAAAATAGGATGTAATAACAATGATAATTTTCTTATGGCTCTTGAATTATTGGCTGAGTTTGATCCTTTCTTATTAAACCATTTAGAAACGTACAGAAACCCAGGAAAAGGTAATACATCATACATTTCATATAATATATATGAGCAATTTATCAGTATAATCTCTAGACAATTATCAAATAAAATTATTCAAGAAGTTAAAGCTTCTCGATACTTCTCAATCAGTGTTGACTCTACACCAGACATATCACATATCGACCAGCTTTCCTTTTGTGTTTGATATGTCAACAATAAAGGGGAACCCGTCGAAAGATTTTTATGTTTTTTGAATCAAATTGGACATAAAGCGGATGACATGGCGAATGCTGTATTTAGTGTATTAAAAAAATATGACTTAAATATTAATCATCTTCGAGGCCAGTCCTATGACAACGCCAGCAATATGTCTGGAATTTATGCTGGACTACAAGCAAAAATTAAAAATGTCAATCCCTTAGCAAATTTTGTACCATGCTCTGCTCATTCCCTTAACTTGGTGGGAACCAATGCAGTTGATTGTTGTACTCAAGCTGTTTTATTTTTTGATATACTTCAAAATGTTTACACTTTTTTCACAGCTTCTACTCACCGCTGGAAAGCTCTTAACGCATCTGTTAAAGGACTTTCCGAAACAAGATGTTCTGCCAGAGATGATGCTTGCCAATCACTGAACAAAAACTGGTGTTTAATTATTAAAGCATTAAATCTAATAAAAAATGATGATGCTGAGAAAACACTTACACAAAATGAAGCTAGAGGAATTCTAAACAAGTTAAATAATTTAGAAACTACATTCCTATCTATATTCTGGGGTCAAATATTACACCGATTTAATCTTACGAGCAAGAAATTGCAATCTGTCAATATCGATTTTGGTGTAGTGTGTGAATTGTACAAATCATTAATAACATATATCATTGAATTACGCTCCGATAAGAATTATGAGTATTTTAAACAATGTGCAATTGAAAAAAGTACAATTAAGTAGCTTCAATCCTGTACTAAACGGTCAAAAATCAGAAAATAATTTTTTGATGAAGGGCCATCTAAAGAAAAAACAGTTGAATACTCTAATTTTAAAGTCAATACCTATTTTGTTATACTTGATCAACTGCGGTCACAACTAGAAAGAAGAAATGAAAAATATGAACATCTACTTAAAAATTACAATTTCTTTTTCAAATTAACAGAGCTGACATCAATTGAAATTTGTAAGAATGCTGAAATACTTCAAAATGAACACAAAGATGATCTCAGCACTTTATTTGCTAATGAATGTGTTCATTTTAGGAGCCACTGGTTATGTATCGGTGATAAGGCTCCTAAAACCATTCAGGAAATGTGTAGTTTTCTGAGAACAAATGATTTGATAGGTATGTATCCTTACATTGATGTATCTCCGAGAATGCTGTTATGCACACCTGTTAGTATAATTGTTCGACGGAAAGGTCTTTCTCATGTTTAAAACATATCTGAGGTCTAGTACCTCTGAAGAAAGGCTAAATTATTTACTAGTTATTATTAAATTTGACGGCTTAGTACACACTTGTTATAAGTCACAAAATTGAAATTTTGCAGGAGAGCTATTTTAAACTTTAACTTTTTTTAAACCCATTTAACTTAAGTAATATTAAATCAATTAGTTTTTTCTAAATTGAAATTAACTTGAAAATGTATGTAGTTTCATTTTAATATGTATAGTTGAACTTATATGTTTTCATTTATTTATTTATTTAAATGATATTTATTAAAAAATGATGTGGACTTATAATTATGTGTCAAAATAAATTTGGATAGACATGAACTTATAACAACTACTTTTTGTAAACAAATTACTATAGTATTTTCTTTTCGTAAAACTATAAAACACATAAACAAGGAAACAATTGATAAAAGCTCTTCATATTCAAATAAAATAATAATAACATTTTTCTAAACCCAAAATATGAATCTACTCGTATTGTAATTATATTATAATTTTATATAATTTAATCACTAAAAATGATCGAATGCATTTATTCCAAACTTTGGGCACTAAAAATGACTTACTTGAATTTTAGACCAAAGCCAACATTCTGTTTGCTCTTATTGTTTTAAATAATATGTACTTGAAATAGTGTACTAGGTATTTTAATTAAAATGAAAATTGAATTTTCAATTAATTTTTGTTTGTTATACACCACTTAGGACCTAGGTAGTAAATTGTTATTTAATTTTTTTTTTTTATTTGATACTACCTAATATCTTAAATATTGTAAAACTATATTAATAAATATATATTATATTATTTTATTAATTTGAAATCATAAAAATACCAAGGATCTTAACTTTATGAAATTAACAATCAAAGCTCAGTATAATAACATTTATTGAAGCTATAATTATTTATATCATAATATTATTTTAATATTAGAAGCTACCATTTGAACCGCCTGATGATGACGACCTATGATTCATGATAAGTGAAAATAGTAATACATGCTTACATCATAGATTATAATAATAATATGTTTATGTATAATATGATCTAAGGTAACATGACTTAAATTATGATAAGGATAACATATGATATTATTATATTGGAAATTATAATTTTTTAGTTATTATTTTATGAATTTATATATATTACCTATACCAACTACCAAATACCTATAAATTATACATTATTAAATAATTTTAAACTAAAGTAAAATAAGAATAAATAACAATGGACAATGTTTAAGTGTAGCTCAATTTTAACAATAATTTGTCTTGTTTTCAAATACCAAGAGATATAGTTAAATTAAATCTTTCACGAATTAGGTATGCATTTACGTTTTTTATAAAAAAAGATGCTTATGTAATTGGTGATTTGCCTATCCACCGATTAGAAGAGGTCTGCCTGGGCTGATAATTTGCAGCACTTTCCGTCCCAGGCCAAGAATAGATTTAAATAGTATTAATCTAAAAAAAAAAAAAACTACATAATAATTTTTTCTACTCATTATTATATTGATGAACTAATTTTGTTCTAGGTATAAAACAGTAATGAGGCATAACGCGTAAAAATAAGAATAAAAGAACAACAACAGAATGGGTCCATCAAAATTAAATATTGAGTTTAAAAAAGAGAAATCTATCAATTGGCGACTATTGAACCAGAAGTTTTATCTAATCAATAAATGATGCAAATTTAAGAAAGTTTAAATAACAAGAAAAAAAGAAATACTCTAATTAAAATCATTAACAAATACTTTGTGAGGAATCCATGAAGCAAAGGAGGAAGCATAAAACAAGCAATTCAAGGAAAAACACAATTTTCTAAAATTGCTTTTCGATCAACATATTACTTATTAAGTAAATAATAACTTGGTTAATATACTTTTATTAACCATACATATCTCATTAGTAATAAGTTATAGTTTATAAAAATAACATAAGAAAGATAAAAATTAATTACCAGTTATAAAATATTGTTTAAAAATTTTTATTTTTAATAAATTTGTTTATTTTTCTATGAAGTTTATATCATGTTACTAAGTTAGTATTTAAATTTATTTCCTTATTATTATTTAAGGGGCAACATTTATTTGTGAATAATATTTGTGCATTTTACATATTCATTTTTTATCAATTTATCAAAATATATTTAATGGTAAGACTTTTTTCTCCCTTTCTTGTAAGGGTTAAATCATTATCTCTTGATTGAATAACTGTATTATTTTGGGTAAAATTCATAGTAGCTTCCTCTTCTAAAAAATCATTGTTTTCAATACATAAATTGTGAATAACACAGTAACTTACAATGACTTACATGTAACTTTTTTCATGTCTACTAGACATGTGGCCGAAAACGACCTGTTAGTAGTCAAAATGTATTTTCAATTAATAGGTACGCTTGTTGCACAAAATTGTTTATTAAAAGTTTTTTCTAAGTTATCAAGTGAACCATAATCTTTAAATGGAGTTAATAACAATTTCCTTATTGGATATACTGAATCCCCCAATTATATGATTATATTGAGATCCACATATTTGAGGAAAATCATTAGTAACAGACGGAATGGTTTGACACAATTATAAGCATTTTACGACTATTACAAATCCCTTGTGATGTTAAAGCTGGTATATCATAATGATTGACATAATATGTTGATTTATTTTTGTGTGCTGGAGTTCGAGTTGGTATTTAGGTGCCATCAATGCATTCCAAAACATTTGAAAACCCAGATATCTGAAACATAGATTGTAGTTAAGTTTGCTATATCCATAAAAATTGCAATGGAATAGCATGTTCAGACAGATTTAACATCAGGCAAGTAGTTGATTATTGTAGTAAGTATTAAACAATAGAACTGTATTGTTTAATGACAGCCTACATGTAATTTATATTAGTAGGTGTGTAAATCTGTATTTGGAGTCTGGACACATTCAAAAACTCTACTAAATCAGCTATATTTTAATG